TATTAACAGCGAAGCGAGAATATTGATCAACAGGAATTTTTTGAAGTCGATCATAGTATTCATTCAAATTATAAGTTAGCAACTTGTTGATAACTCATTGAAGGATTGGCGCAGATGGTACGGTACACGAAAACAGATGGCAATTAGTTCTGTTGGACAAAGGAAATAGCAGTCAAGAAATAACGTTAAAAAAATGCGACTTCATTCGCAGGCAGAACACTGGTTTTCTGGGTTAACGTTGGTTGATTGATTGATGTTTGTGATGTGAAGAATAACTTTAGTTATGAGCAGTTAGCTGGTGGAACTTTGAGCAAGGATTTACGAATAACCTTGAAATCGATAATGGGTTCAAGTAAATTACCGCTCATCGAAACTCAGACCCTGACCAAGTTAGCTTTTTCTCTTTGTTTTTAATTATATATGATGAAAAATTGCTATATCTATCATGTCTAATTATAACGAATCAATTAACGATTATAATAATAATTGCTGTATAATTAATATTATAAAATATCTCAATATACTAGTAGCAATAGTATTCAAATTGTAAACGAGGTGGCGACCTGAAGGACGTGACCGTTTAAAGAATACGTCACGAAAATAGTGCGAAACGAACAGAGGAAGAAATCTTTCAAGTACCCCAATAATTATCATAACATTGTGTTCGATTAAGCATGCGCACCCATGACCGAAAGTGTTCTTGCCCAAAGTCGTTGGTGCGGAACACGATGTTTGTGCAGGGACACTGGCGTTATCGTCGTGCGATCGTTTCATTTGACGCTGCTATCGGTGTAGTCGTTGGCTGTTATGAACGCCGGCGCCGTCACGTTTCTCGAGTCAAACTGCAAAAGATGCAAAGACCCAGATGCTCATGGTGGAAGAAGATAGAGGTGAGGTTCAGGACCGGCTGGTGACAACCAAATAACGACTCGCCGACAGCAACGACACGGAAGTCCTATTGATACTATTGTAGATGCTGGAAGTTACGAACGTATGCGCCACATTCGTACACCATACCGTCGAGCGTGCTGCACAAACGTATATGGGCAATACACTGTGCTGGTAACAGTATTTAATTCTGTTGTATTCTCTCTATATATTGTGGTTGGGCCGCGAGGAAGCCAACACGCCACCCGATACTTAATTAGCAATAGGAAAATTAAAAAGAAAAATACTTGAACGACGTGACAGAGGACGGTCGTGATTCATTGAGATTTCAAAGCGAAGACAGAGACAGAGTTATATTCTTTCACCACATACACACTCAAATAGCTTCCACTCAAATCATATATTAAGTGATGTAGATGCGTCCAAGACAATGTATCTGAACTATAGGAGCAATTCTCCTTAGATCATAGAGCAAGCTGCAAATTTAAAGACAGAATATGCTACGGTATAATCGAAATTTCACGCACTGGTGTCTATCTATTCGGTATCTCAATGCTTCCGTCTATGTCAGACTTCCACACGAACAAGAATAACAGAAAAGCTACAATTTCGGACTGACGCGCTGGTACTCAACCTCTGTTGTTCAGCGCCAAAAAGTCACGTTTTCACGTTCCTCTGTACGTATGTCTGGGTCTATAGCCGAAATTTCGACGTTTTTTCGGCGAAGACCAAGATCTCTCGAAAATGTGCGGCGTGTTTCTCATTTTTTTTTTGTTCGTTTATCGCCTGGCGGCATCGTCTTTTTTCCAGTGTGAGTTGTGTTTAGGTGGGACGATGTCGATCGATGGTATTCGTTCGTTTAAAGAAAAACAAAACATAGGTGCCAGGCGCCGACGGTGAGCGCGCAGCAGGCGGTGGTCCAGAGAGCAAATGTACGGATAGTCACATCGCCAACCCTTCGCTGCGTTTCCCAACGGCCAGAAGCACTAACTATACAGAAGGATCTGTGTGTGTGAGCGTTTGTGTGAGTACTTTACTTGTGAAATGCGCGCGCGTTATCATTCGAACATCGACGAACGCGCTCGTCTTGAATGGGCATTAGCTGTGAACGGGAACCGTAGGGTACCGCCGAAAGGGGACATGGGGTCATCATATCAGAGGCCAGCACCCTTAAACATATCTCCAGGGCGTCGTCCACAGCCACCGGCTGGTCCCTCTGAACGTGGGGACCTGCGGAGGCCGATGACGTCCCGCGCTGTGTATAGAGAGAGAAAAAAAGGCCCTCTAGATAGGACTAAAGAAAAGAGAAAGCTAAAGAAAGAAAAGAGAAGATACGAAGCAATTATGGAACGAAAAAATTACCGGTGAAAGAGGATTATGATGATAATAAATACGATTGAAATGTCGATTTATGATCATAAGAGATAAAATAAAGGGCAAAAGAGAGAGAGAGAGAAAGAAAATATCAAAGAAAAATAAAGATAAGGTGAGACACGATAAAATAGTAAACAGATAACGGCATACTAGTAAAAAAACGAGATAAATAAAGATAAAACCGCTAAATGATTTTACTAGCGGACCCGTGCAGCGTAACGATCATGTCCGAATGCGTCCGTCGGCCGGGAGTCGAGCCACTTCTTAGATCCAACAACATTAGCTATTAATCACGAATATTTTAAGATCCCTGGCTTCCAACTTCTATCGCCCTCAACTAAAGCTTTACCCCTTTACCCCGATTTCCTAATCTCCCCGTGCAATATACCAATGATGTGGATGAAGAAGATAAAGTAGTAGTACTAGTTATAGTGGTGGCACAAGAATGATGTGTCTCTTCTCAACTAACGTCCATTGACAGGACCACCTTCGCCTCAATCCCCGCTTTTTGGTCGAAAGTTGAATCTAAGTGCACGCTGGTTGGTGCAGACGCGAGCAGGTCTGCTGTGACAACCTCCTGTCTACAGCTATTCTCACTGTATTATACAATTAGTCTGCATATTTAGCGCATCGTTTGGGGACTTTCTGTCGTTTTACCGGTTGTTTCTCGTCGTAGCAGTAGCAGTATTGGAACTTATCCACTCTTTCGCGCCATAACTTCCCCTCCGTGAACTTCCGTCGGCCCATGGGGTTCGAATTCGACGTCCTATCAAAGTGCATCGCATCGTCCTGATTCAAAAAACGGCTCAACATTTCTTTTGCACCCCAGTTCGCGCATTTCGTCGAGAAGAGCGACTCCCGATCCGAAGGACGCAAACCTTGTTACCCGTGCGTGCGGACATGGCGGAATTTGGCCGACCGTAGAAAAAAGAGCCTCCGCTATCTCGCATCGATTGTGTAAAACTAATAGAACTATTAATATATAGTAGATAGTATGTAGGAAGCAAAAATGGGCAAAAAAGAGAAAGATACGAGTACATGTGCGCGTGAATCAAGTGACTAATAACGATGATGATTATGACGATGATGCTAATTATAATAAATATAACAATAATGAGAAGAGTGAACTATAATAATAATAATAACGATAATAAATAAACTAATAATAATAATGATAAATACACACGAATACATACGCGAATATAAGGCAGACACGAAGGCAAGCAAAAGAAAAGAAAAATGATGTTAACGTCAAATCGCATATGATAAAGGCGGCGCTCGATGGCGCAATAGCAGAAGAAGGTATAGAGAAAAACTGGTCGTAAAACTAGCTGAGATGTGAGCTCTTCTAGTTAAGATCGAAAAAAAAGGCGAGAAAAGGTAAAAAGGAAACAACGTAAATGATGAAAATGTGAGAACAAGCGAAACCATTGAGCGACAGAAAAAACGAGCGATTGAATAAGAGCGAATGTCAGAAAACTATCGAGGATGTCGTATATCGGGGGTAAACGACACCACGATAATAAACACACTGTGAAACAGTGGGGGCATGTAGAACATTATATTATTATTAATAATAATATTCTGCAAATGAGGTCGTAGGCAACATCTAACACCCTTGGGTCTCGTAAAAGTAGGGCGCGCTTTATGCGGATGTAATAATGAAAAACCAGGGGCAAACAAACTGAAAATCACATGACTGTGAATGAACGAACTTAGACCGAGAAAAACCGAGGACATACAGGATACACAGGGGCTTGGGGCTTGTAGACGAAGGACAGGAGATGAGATGGATTATAGTAAATGTCCCTAATGACATTAATGATGAAATGGATAATATTGACAATGCTGATGAGATAATAATGATGATATAATGGAAATTCATAATGATAATAATGGTAATACTGATGAAAACAGACATCAACACAAGCAACAGCAGTCGAAGCTATCTGCTAAAAGCTCGGCAGCAGTGGCGACCCCCATACGTTGATGAGATACGTTGATTGCCCCACGTTGATTGACTATATAAATATATATAAATAGATCTATATATATATA